ATTATTTTGGCCAAGATAATTGTGCCATTAAATGTGCTATCATCCCATGCTTAAATATCAGTAAAGAAAAAATCAACAATTGGTCAATTGGTCATACTTTGTGAAAGGATATCCATATTATCAAAACACTGTTGCAGACAAATCATATTTTCCTTTTTTTAGTTAATTTCATTTTCAAACATTATTGTATAAAATGTTTCACCTCACGGCTGTATTCTGTAAAGCACAATAAAGACACAATACCTCTACTACAATTACAGCTGTGTATTGTAAAGAATCTGGCGATATGATACATATCACGATACAGGAGTAACGGTCTTATATATTGCGATACTGTAAGCAAGGCAATGTATTGCATTTTTTAAAGTCTAATTTTAGCAAAACTGTCATAGCACAAAGAACACACCACCCTATACCCCTCAGGTTACGTTTACAGTCGATTCAAGCTTTTGAGAATCAACACAATATAACAAAAACATTTATTTATATTTTCTTACACACATAACTACAATGCTATTTCAACTGTTACCATCTCTACTTCTATACTGTTATTATTACTACTGTTAGTACTAGTATTAAAACTACCACAGTTACCATTGCCACTACTACTTGTCTTCACATATTACTACTCCTACTCACACTACTGCTTTTATGACTACTTTTACCAAATGTATGCTACGTGGCCAAAAGAATGTAGACAGCCAAACATTGAGTGGTTCTGTGCTGCAATATCAGACTTCATATGCTGCAGGGATTTTTAGTGAGGTGATGTTAGTTGTTAAAGTCTGGTTCTGGGTCAGTTCATCCTAAAGGTGCTGGATGGAGTTGAGGTTAGGGCTCTGTGCAGGTTCTTCCACACCAAACTGAAACAAACATTTTTTTAATGGAACTGGACAAACACAAACTAACATAAAGTTAGAAACACACTGATGCCTTAAATATAATCTTGAGCTTTAGCATCCTTCATTTCTTTCCCTTCATTAGAACTAAGGACCCTAGTACAGATCAAACCGGTATACTACAAACACTTCAATCACATGCTACTGTGAATACTACTACTACTTCCTATCCCTACTAATACTACTGTGGTGTGTTGACTGACATACATTGCTGTATCCAGAGCACACCATACTTGGCCATAAACATGCAACAGTGCCTCTGGTCTTCATATATAATGTGTATCTTCTGATGGTGTGTGTGTGTGTGTGTGTGTGTGTGTGTGTGTGGAGCTGGATTAGGCTGAGGGAGAGTGAGGGGTTACTGGAGTCCAGCAGCTGTACAAACAAGGACAGGCCAGATATTACTGTTACCTCACTGAGTGCCATCTCTCCCAGGCCTGCAGACACTGGACGTATCATTACATAAACCTATTGTTACTCATGTCACACAAAAGCCCTCATTGGGGGGATTACCTCCAAATCATAAAAAATGACACATAACCTGAACCATCTGCCGGCGTGAGACAGAAGATTTAAAGGTCTGGCTTTGGGAAAATGTTGGGTATCTGTCAGGTCACTAATTTGTCTGAAGCAGAGGCACCATGACATGAACATGGAGCAGGTAAGAGGTGAGCAGAGGGGGGATGTCCTGCTGTAACAGGATCTGCTGCTGTGGTTAAACATGACTGAGTCTGAGCACTTACAGTAATGTAGTGCAAAGCAATGATGCATGGTGATCCTGGAAGAACCTTTTCTTACCTTGCTCTGTGAAGACGCGTCTTTACACAAAACCAGCAGACAGGCGAACAAATTGGTGTATCTCCACATTTTCTCTTCTGAGTGTCGAGGCGCGAAGTTGAGAAAATCCACAGCGACAGTCTCTAACATTCAGTCCAGTGCCCCTATTTTAACTCCATCTCCTTCTCACACAGGGAGGATCATACACTATGAGTCCGTCGTTTGTCTGTCCGTCCGTCCGTGTGGATCTAAGTTGGTGTGTGTGCCTGTTTTGTGTGCCCTGTCTGCGCCGCGCGTTCCGTCTCCAATCCGGCGCACAGTGCGCATCATCTGTCATCCGCTGTCCTCCACTGATGGGAGGGGTTTACACACACACACACACACACACACACACACACACAGTCCCTCAGTAAGTGTATTTAGGCTGTAGACTACACAGGACGGCAGGGTTTCTTTAATAGTAATGATACTAATAATGGTGATAATAATAATAATAATAATAATAATAATAATCACGATGATGATAATAATAATAATAAAAATAATAATAATAGTAGTAGTAGACATGGCCCACATTGAGAAAGTAACACGGTTTTCAGGGGGCAGCACATTTGAGCAAACACACATTAGTTTAAAGGGCTTTTGGCGCCATCAGCTGGCCAATTATTGCTTGGAAACTCCAGTCACACTTTTGAGTCACTCTTTGAGATGATTGGAAGCAGTGTTGGGCTCAGTAATCAAATGTTTTTATTTATTACTCATTACTCGTTTTTTTTTTTCAAAAATAACATATGACTTTACTTATTACTTACCTGCTAACAGTAACTAGTTACACTGCTACTTATATTACTTTTCTGCTACTCCCCATAAAACTGGTAATTGTGTATTTTCTCCCCAGAATTCAGACTTATGACGATTCATATCCATTTTTGTTGTTAAAGCTGCAGTATGTAACTTTTATAGCCACGCCCCTGCTTGTAGGAGACTGGACTGAAATGCAGGACATGCAGCCAAAGAACATCAGCATACTGAGAGTAGTGTTTAGAGAGGAATATTATATTTGAGCTTTTGCTTGATTTAATTTTGTCTGTAAAGGCAAATATGTATGTATTTATTTATCAATGAGTTTTGTTTGCTTGAAATAAAAACAAGCCACTGAATACACATCGAGATCAAGAAATATGAGTACCTGCGTGTTAACTTAACCTAACAGTGTTTATATGACTAATTACTGAAAGGAAGTCAGGACTACAGTCATGAGAAAACATTGACGTGCTTTTATGAAAGTGAGGGGGCACAGTGAATGAAGTGGGGGAGCACTGCCCCCTGGTGCCCCCTCGTGGAGCTGACTGAAGTGTGTAGTGGGAAATGCGTAAGTGAGGAAAATGTAGCTCCCCCTCATTGATTGATGCAGTTAAAATAAAAGAGGTTGATAAACTCAGTTTGTGTTTTATATCACATGATGATGTGATATAAAACACCATTAAGCCTGACCGACAATATATTTTGGTATATGAATGTATAGAAGTTGAAATATCTACACATGTAAAGTGTTTATGGGTGTTGCAGATAGTGAGTGCTGTGCTAGTGTATTCTCTGGGTCTCCATGTATTTTACAGTCAGAGACAGTTCAGTTGGGATTCTCTGCTAAAACAGCAGGAAAATAATCTGCAACAGTGAATTTACTCTCATTATTATCTTCAGCAACATCATTATCCTCCATTCAAAGTCAGTTATAACAAGAAGCTCAAACTTGTGACTTTCTATGAATTGGAATTTAAGGAAGTAAAGAATAATTGTTGCTTTTTAAATACTGAAGACAATGGTCAAAGCTTGTTGCATAAAATCACTTTTATGCACTTCTGAGGTCAGATGCTAGACTAAGTGCAGTGGAGTAGACCTCAAATCATATTGTTTTGGAGCTGCTTACTCTGTCTACTTTTTTAATCTTTCATATATTATTTGCTGCCATGACAATCCAGATGATGGTGCTATTGGGTATTTGCTTTTTAGGTTTGTTATTCACTAAATCACTTCCTAAGATCGTACCTTTTCTCCAAGTCCCGAAATATGTTCTTAAAACACTGTTTACTAAACAACAAAAAGAGTATTAAGCTTTTGATGCACTATGACATGCACTGGTCATGAAAAATAATTCATAATTTTGGATCCTATACCACAGCCTTACCAAATGACTATTTATGTGCTCGGGAGCTTTGGTAGCAATGTGAATTGAATATTAGGAGCTTCTGTGTGAATGAATATCTAAATAGTCTAATATTCAGGTCCAGCACTAGACCCTACTTATTTAATAAGCATTTTATCTCACAAAAGGTAAAATAGCAAAAACAGCTATTTATATGTTTTTCTAGAAATATCCCGCTGGCCAAATTGAACCTTATGGTGGGCCCCACCTTAGGCAGCTCTGGTTTACCTGAATATTTGTACATGCTGTTAATTATTTAATAATTCAGTCTGGATTTAGAGTTCATCACAGCACAGAGACAGCTCTGGTTAAAGTTAGTAATGACCTTTTGATTGCCTCTGACAATGGTCTTGTCTCTGTACTTGTATTATTAGATCTTAGTGCTGCATTTGACA